CCCATCCGTCCCTCTCTCCTTCCCCTTGAAATGGCAGCAGGGCTGCTTCCACCCCTTTGGGTGCTTCTCAGGCCAGGTGGCAGCTGACTGTGGGGGGGATGGAGGATGGAGCAGGCAGCAGGGAGGAGCTGGAGGTTCTCACGGAGCATTCCCAGTGTGGGTCTGGCTATCCAACCTGGTGTGAAGCTCAGCAGCCAGCTGCAGGGAGGCTTCTTGTAATATCCAGCTTGCACCCAGTGTGTGAAATGAAGGATTTATCCCTTTGCTTTCATACAAAATATCAGCTTAACAACAGGTATGCACTGGTGTGACGTGGGTGGCCTTTAAGCACATATGGATTTCCAGAGAAATCAAATATAAGCCCGAGGAAACACTTATCTTAGGTTGTTCACTTGTTCAGGGGCTGGAAATTACATGGAATTCTTATCTGATATTTTCCTAACAGGCAGCTCTTACTGTATTCCCAGGGCAGCAAGAAAAAAAGCCGCCTCAGAAGAGCACTGCCAAATGTAATTGCTCAGCCCCTGGGGCTCCCAGGCATGTTCTGCTTCCCACCTCTTTGTTCCAGGGTGGCCCCTCCTGCCTTCCTCTCCGTTAACTCTTGCCGCTCAGCTCCCTGGCACCCAGCGGTGGCTTCTCCATGTGGCGGGGGGGGGCGGGGAGAGGGGGTGCCCTGTGCTGGCCTGGAAGGAGGGACTTGCCTCCTCCTTGCCTGAGTTGAGGTGTCTCATGCAGAAGGAGCTGGAGCTCCTTCATACAGAGGTATTTCACCTAATCAGTAGCTCTGCTTCTCGCTCACAGTGGATATGGCAGTGGCCAGTATGCCAAAGGAAAACTTGAATAATGATGGGAACTGCAGAACACATTGCTTAATTTTCTGCGATAAAACTGTTGCTGCAAAACAGCCTGGAGGCAAAGAGAAGCATAATCAAACAAAGGACCTTGATGCATTGATTAAACGAGTTACTCTGTTCCCAGTCAGATGTAAAATACAGTCCCAAACATGTGGGATCATTCATACTATTAAAACTAACTCACTAGCCCCTTGAGTCTTTTGTAGAGCAAAGGGAAAACAGCTTAGATGCTTCATCAGGGATCTAAGGGAAAGGCCCAATGTACAACACAGAGAGTGGGATCACCTTGCTCTGTCCATGAGGTGGTAACTTAGCTCATCTAAAACAAGAACACCAGTCTCATGGATACTGCTGCATCTCTCTTAACTCTCAGGCAGT